CCAGTGACGAAACTAACAGCTGATCTGAGCAAACACTAGAGCTGATGGCGTTTCACACACACACACACACACACACACACTCGCGACGGTCCAGCTGTTTAACAGAGACATGTAAACCAGCACAACAGCACTAACAACCCACTAGTTACACTATAATCCGGTCAGATGGCCTGACTGATGATCAATGGTCACATGGCACGCAGGTAAACAAAATATTTCACCTTTTTCATATTTTGTTTTATTTTGATGTTTTTATTACTTGATTTTAATTTTATTTCAAATAAAATATGTATTTTTTTTGTTTTGCTTTTATTTTACATGTATTTGTTTGTTTTATTCTGATCTCACAGCAGCAGTAAACACACACACACACACACACACACACACACACTCACACACACACACTCTTGTGCTGTGCTCGAACACCAGCACTACATCACAGTGACACCGGAGCGAGAAACTCCTCCTGTCTCTCTCTCTGTGTTTCGCTCTCTTAATTACACAGTAAATCAGACAGACCTGCAGTGACTCTATTAAACACACACACACACAGCTCTCTCCCCGCTGCACACTGGACGAGCAAACACACACACACACACACTCTGCTCTGACGGCTCGAGACCGACATCACGGAGTTCCTCCACTCATCAGTGTTCACTACATAGAGACCTTCTTTCACTTCCACATGAAGCAGGTGTAATGTTCTGTCGTATTACATCACATCAATAATCACTCACAGATGCGCAGCTGCTCTGAACGTCAGTCATGTAATCACCTGCACGGCCCTACAGCCCAATCACAGCGCCGATGACACTCAGAAGAACCGTGAGTGTGATGTTATGAATCACATCGAACCCCGACATCACACACTGTTCACCAGAGCCTCATTAACCAGCAAAGTCATCACGGGACCATGATGGTTATACCATGGTACTGAATGTTTACCATATTCATTCATTCATGTGGAACCTGAAAGAATACCGTGTTATTACACTCGAACTATGACACTTTTTGTTAGCAATATGAATTACAAATGCTGCCGACCAACAAAGCTGACCAGAGGAATCAACATATGCTAATTAGCCACAATGTATCATTTACACATATGCTAATTAGATCACTCAAAGAAGTGTTTACAAAAACTGCTTCAAAAATCAGAATCATTAAACAACCAAAAACAAGCTATAGGAGTTGACTACAGAATTCACTATGTAATGGACTATAGAATCAACTATAGAGTTCACTACAGAAATCACTAGAATTCAATATATAATGCACTATAAAGTTTACTACAGAGTTCATTACAGAATTCACTACAGAATTAACTAGAGTTCACTACAGAATTCACTATGTAATTGACTAATCGACTAGAGTTCACTACGGAGTTAACTAGAATTAAATATAAAATTCACAGTAGAGTTTACTATAATATTTACTACAGAATTCACTACAGAATTAACTATGTAATTGACTATAGAATTGACTATAGAGTTCACTACAGAAATCACTAGAATTCCATATATAATTCATTAGTTTACTATATTTTCAATAGAATTAACTAGAGTTCATTACAGAATTCACTATAGAGTTCACTTTATAATTCACTATAGAACGCTCTAGAAGCTCCCTGATAAAAACATGTACATGTGGGTGAAATTAATAAAATCTTTTATCAAGAAATAATTGACTTTCATTAATTTAAATCACAGCAATGATACACGTCATGATATAGTCATTGTATCAGTAAAGCTGCTTTGAAGCGATCATGAAAAGTGCTGCATAAATAAACCTGACTTGCCTTGTTAATCAAATTTCTGACATGAAACAATACTGAAATGCATGACAGATGCTGGCGGCTGCTATTGGCTGAAGCGGCTGGACAGGCGTCCAATCAGAGCGGCTCAACTCCACATGGCCGTGGACAGTGAGGTCGTCTGCTCATGACACAACTGTGTTTCCAGGTCAGACTCAAACTCTGAGCTCGACAGGCTCCGCGCTCCTCTGCTCATTTATCTTCCCTCTCGATTATGTAACAGGAGAATCTTATCAAATATTAATGCTGTGTGGAGAGAGAGACAGAAGAGAGAAAGCAGGCAGTTCGACGCTCTCGTTGCGGTTACAAAATCTCTTTCCCAGGTTACCCTGCAAGACTCCAGTGTGTCTCATGATTCGCCTCGAAACGCAACGAAGAGGATGCTTAAAGAAAGTCGCTTTGGATAAAAGCATCTGCTAAATGCAGAAACGTAACTGTAAGACCAGTAAGAGTTTCTGTATTGTAACATTAAACACATCTTTACTTCAGTCAGCCTCAGTGCTTTATTTATGAGTTCGTAATTTTTGCATCAAAGCAATAATTCATGATGATTCAAATCAACAAATGATTCATGGAGAATTTTTTTATAATTTTTTTAAATTACATATATATTAAATAAAAAAATGCATATTATATGTATATATACACACATATATAAATTATGATGATACAATAACGTCACAATGCAAAAAATTATGCTAGGTTTTCTTTCTTCATTATTCCTGAGGTGAATAGTGCTGGCAGGTTTCCTGAGATGCAGTTCTTCAGATGCATCATCATATCCAGCGCATGCCGTTACAGTGATCCGAGTGTTCATTTTTACACCATAACACACACACACACACACACACACACACACACACACACACACACTGGACTCAGTCCCGTCTAACCTGCACTGCATTGAGCTGAAGGGGTGGAGGAGGGAATCAATGCCGTTTTCAACATGTAATGGTTGCTAATGATTTTCTGCTGGTTTACTGAAGGCGCTTCTATCTGTTCATCAGGGTGATTTGGGTGTTTTTGTGCTGCTGGAACAACAATCAACGGATCGATTGTGGGCAGAACTGATGCATGAGGTTCTAGACGAACCAAAGTCCACACCAACACGGCGATGCTGCAAACATCTGCACTGACGACACTCATGAATGCAAAGAAGCCACAGCGATACGACCTCACCTTGTTATTATTATTGATCACAAACAGTTATTCATATCAGCCCTGTACCATCATCACAACAATGACAGATTCCTAAACTCTGCGTTTGATATATTTGGTTACACGCATGACTGCTTAACACCTGTCACCTATAATCAATACAATTCGCATCCAATCATCTGTATTGTTCCTGTAGTTCTTCTAATGTCCTGTGTTTGCTGTATCATCTGTGATTCAGTGACATTCCCACACTGATCAATAACGCCTCTTTTAATGCTTACTGTACTGAATCAATCAATC